AGGGGACCACAGCTTTCAGCAAGTCTGTCAGAGCCTGCTGGGGGAACAAGGCTCCTCTCTGAACCTTAAGTGACCAGAAAGCGTCTCCCTGATCGTGAATCCTCAATGAAGAGCAGCCTCTCCTTTTCGCAGACAGAGACGGCTGCGGCTGCTACGAAGCATCAACGTTGCTGCGCCTTGACACCAAAGCGCTAATGGTAAAAGCAAACAGCCGCTTTTTGGAATTTTCTGGTGGCGATTGCTGCCATCATTGACGGTTGATTGACCGCTAAAGCCAATAAAGGCTCAGAAGGAGCTGCTGTTGTTTTCTCGGTTATCGACTGGGTCGTGAAGGTCTTGGAAGCCAGGAGGATGTGGTCAGCTTCTTCAGCCAGTGAGCACTAATCCTTCTGGAACAGGTGGATAAAAACAAATCCATCTTCTTAATTTCCAAGCAAGGACAGCATGCTTTCCATCAGCTCCAAAGCCGTGCCATCTTCTAACCCCGAGAGAGAAAGCAGCTTCTCGGCACGCTCTTCATCGGACAGGGAGTAACGGCAGAGAAGCAGGTGTTTGAGGGTGCTGTACTTCCTGTCTGCTGGAGGGTTGAGAAGCAGGGTCATTGCCTGTGTGGTGAACGGCAGGTCCAGCACGGAAACTAGATAGTGGTTATTTGTGTCGTCCGAGGAGATTCCATGAAGAGCAAACTGTGCTTCGACTGTGAGGAGCTGGGTAAACCATCAGATGTGTTCATGTTGGCTCACAGGGGTCACCAATGTGCAGGAGTGGACAAGGACAAAACAAAGCAGGTAGGTTCAACACCGTCTTTACCCTACTCCAACTGAGAGCAATCGTACAGCAGAACACCTTAATATACACTACCAAAGAAACATGGGTTACAACTTTTCTGCTGAGTGAGAGTGGACCCCCCTAGTGGTCTGCAACAGGATCAATTTATTGACATGTGACTGTATCAAGTAATAATCAGTCCAACTAAATTAATCTCTAAACACTATTGAGCAGAAAACTATTTCCTTTTATACTTAAAAGTAGGGATCTTAAATATTGAAACAGACTCATAATTGATAAGATTTAATTCCTTTCACAGATGATCAAAATATTTTCTTAGATATATTATAGCAATGTGTTACAGTGACTATAAAATTCTTCACTGTCTCTTTATACAGTAGTTTATTATTCTCTCTATTTTACGCTTCTGTTAATATAGTAAACAGTAGATCACAAGAAGAACATGTTTGTTTTACCAGATATTTTATGTGTAAAAGCTCATGAAAATGTCCCAGTCAAAAGCAATACAATAAAAAACAACTAATGTAATTAAATTAAATTCAAAAATACTTTATTAGCCCCAAATTAATATTAATTGTTGCAGTAACTCATAAATGATTTTTGATCCAGTTGTTGTGTTTATAGTTGTAGGCAATAAGTTTTTCTGTATCAGTCTGTCTTCCACTGGATCTGGAAAGGCCTCTTAATGAAGACACTCTGTCGTTGTTTAAAAATCTTCTGAATCTCACTGTTGTCTATAATCTTCTTCTCTTTATGAAGAATTCTTCTTTGTGAAATCGTCTCCAGAGGTTCTAGAGGAGTTCCCAGAACAGAGCTGGTCTTTATTAGTTTGTTGAGGTTTTTTAAGTCATGGTAATACTTTTACCCAGATGGCAGAGGAGATCACACCTGTCCCTTCTTATAGAAGGCCTCATAGTTGTGCATCCAGTCTAGTTTTTTGTCCAGGTGAACACCAAGATATTTATACTGATCCACCATCTCCGCTTCTTCTCCCATGATGTTAATAGGTTTCACCTTGTTCCTGTTTCTTCTGAAATCTGCAATCATCTCTCTTGGATAATCTCTGCTCCCCATCATTTATTTATTTAATTAAAAGAAAACAACATAACAAAACCTGTGCAACTGATCATTGAAACCATAAGTGAAAAGGAGCATCATCATTTAGAACTGAGGAAGCCTTTTGGATGACAGGTAAAATATCTTCAATAGAATTTCACCACCATTTGCCTAAACTGAACTTTTCAGGCTTGTTTTTAGTGTCTCATTAAACCACCATGCAATGTGCTGGTAAAAAAAAAAGTGAAATCCATGGGTGAAATGTAATTTTTGAAGTAGTTATGAGGTATCACTCATGGCAATTATTAAGTAAATAGGAAATTTTCATGTAATGGCCAATGTCTTCAACTGGTCATGGATCCCTTTAAAGATTGAGAGCACTGTAGTAGTCAGTAGACCATGCTGATCATTCTCTGGAAGACCATCACTTTATCTATATGACACAGTTCACATCATGCATTACGTTAGAAAAAATATTGAAAAACCTAGAAGATTTTTTTCCACCCTGAATATAAATTATGTACATTTATTTTATTTTTTTTGGCAAATATTGCAAATAGCATAAAAAACTCAGATGAAAACATTCAATGAATATTAATTTTATTTTGGTAATTTTTGAATTGGTTATGTAGGAATGACTATTTTAGCACTGCTTTTTATAAGGAAAATATTTTATAGATTTAATCTATCTAATATCAAAACATGTCTTTAAGGTACTAGAAAAACATGCTTTCTTTCTGTATCTCTACCATGTGTTGCAAATATATACAGAATTTTTTAATTCTTTAATTCCAAGCAGAAACCAAGTAGCTCCCCTCTCGCTATTTGGGACAAACTGTTAGAAACAAAGGGATGCTTAAATCCTATTGGCCTAACAGGGATATCTTCACCTCTCTTTAGAGAGTATCTAGTTGATTCATGCGGATTGGCATACAGGACACAGGACAATAGAGTCTTTGTTTCAGATTTTGCTGTACCAAGACATCTGTCAACCGCTTGTGTCTCTGCAAAGCGCTTGGATTTGCCCTGAATCAAAAGCATTTTATCTTCTCACCGCAGCTCATTTCTCTTCAGGATGAGGGAAATCAGGCCTGGTTTAATTATTTTCTATCTTTCTGTTGATAAGGGCATAAATTTCAATTATAGCTTGAGATAAGTTTGTTTGGAAGATGCAGAACAGAATGTTACGAAAAAGAAAGGAATTTTGAAAAGATTAATATTTTTGCGGGTGAAGTTTTAATATACTTAAAATTATGCAGCTTTTGAAATACATTGATAATTATATACACAAATAATTAGTTAACTGTTTAATGATATATAAAAGACTATGGTGGACTGAGTCAATATAACAGATACAATTACTTTCTGGTGCATTTCTGAAAAGAAGAAATGCTGTTATTAATTAATTAATTCATTGCATAAATCATGGAGATAGATCACTTTAAATTTTTGTGCCTTTTTAAGTACGATTTGTGTGTATAAATCTGAACGCTAATTATTAATTCATATAATTTTAATTAAATACAAAATTTAACATTTTTTAATCAGTCTTCACAAGTGTATTCATATGATGAAGTACTATAAATTGTGATTAAAGTTTAGATGCTTTTTAGAGATAAGTTTTACTTTAAGGTATGCCTTCCTATAAAATAAGTGTAGCAGAACTAATTCTTGAATTTCTTTTTTTTTTTTCAGAAAAAACTGAGGAAAGGTAAAGTAAATACTTGTCTATAAATGAAACAATATATAAGGTCACTTTATTTTTGATCCAATAACAACCCAAAATCTGGGTTTTTGAATCTCAAAGTTTGGAAGCTGCATAATTATCATTTTTCTTATCAAACTAATCAAATTTCTTAAATAAAAAAAGGTAGTTTTCCTAAATTAAATTGGAATATTTAATTGGAATGACATACAAAAAAGGACTTATTTGTGTGCATTCTCTGGTTGAACTGCTGAGAGACAAAGCCAAATTAGATTTTTAAGGCTCTAAATAATATTGCTGCTCTCTCTTTAAACAGAAGATTGAAATCAATACATTAGAATCTGCATTACATTTATTCCAAATGAAACTGCTGGAAGAATCCATTTTGTCTAAAAAGTCAAGGAAACAAACAAAAAGTCTGTCATTGATATAAAAGCCGTTTAATGATTGTCAGAGTGAATCCTGAGGAAATTCAACAGCATAAAATTTTCAATATAGGTTTACAAAAACTGTATGCAATGATCTGTTTTTTTATACTGCTCTTCGCTGCTTTCTGGAGGCAGACTTTTTCTTCTTTAATCAGACAAGCAGTAGAAAATTCCTATGAACATAAATATCATAAATATTCACAAAAGTGTTTTTTTTTGTACAAAAATACAAATCTATCAAGTCCATGTCTATTTACATAAGCCACAGTGCTGAGGTTTCAGTCAGCAGGGAGGACAAAAGATAAGGCAAAGAGGCAGAGCTGCTATGAGATTCTCTCAGTGAGATAAACTTTTGTAAGATTACCAAATGTTCACAATTTCAAAACTAAAGATATAAAACAAGCTCTAACTTCTTGTAATTAAATCAGAAAAGCATAAATTATTCGCATTGGTTCTTAAATTATATATTGATTATTATTGTTATAATAATGTTATCTGTGGGATTTATTCAGTGGTTAAGTCGTAGGTAAAAATAGAGAATAAAGACTTGCTAAATTAAATCAGCAGTGGGTTTCAAGTGCTTATGAAGAAGAATATTACGTTTTTTAAATGTTCTGTTTGTTTTCTTAGAGAAAACAAAAGAACAATAAATTGATATTAGATCAGTAGTTAGTAGGATTACCAGCTGGGGTAAAGAGTCTGCTCTTTAACATACATGCCTACTTCAGCTTCCTGACTGCAGCTTTAAAACTGTATTTCAGTAATAAGATTAATTGGTAATGTTACTTTAGTTCTCACTCTATGAATGTCTGTTTTTAAACAACTGAAATATTTCCAACTTCAGAAATGTGTCATTCTAGACCAGGGGTTCTCAAACTTTTCATCCCATGACCCCAACAATAACAGCACCACAGACTGGCGACCCCAGAAAAAAACATATGATTATTTCCCTCTATATTTATATAGAGTGTAGTAATAACATTCAATTTTAAAATAAATTTATTTTCTAACATAATCACTTTAAATGTATCTTGAATTATTTAATGGGATCTTCAATAGTCCTATCATTTCTTATGCATTTTACAACTAAATGGTGTATTCACCATTATATTCAAATCCACATCAATCATTTTGACCCTCAAAAATGCAATATCTACATATTTTATCAGAAATTTAAATATATGTATCTCATGATACTTTCTGGGCCTCTATATATCTCAGGGATCACCATATAAAAATAATCAAAAACATTTCATACCATATTTCCGAACCCCTGTTCTAGAGTGCTTGGGACAGGATTAGTAGTTGTTTTTCAGTTAGCTCATTAGTGGTGTGCAGCAACATGTGGGGGAGGGGCAGCTCTATATGCTCTTTCTACTGCTTGATTCAAAATGACTTTGAATTGTACGAGAAGTGTATACATTTTGGAACTCGTAACATGCCAAGATTTTATTTCATAAGGCAAGCTGTCGCTCAGTACACTAAAAAAAACATTTTTGGCATTTACTAAATCATATTTTGTAACTTTAACATTTAACTTTTTCATGTTAGCAGGGTAGGACATAAAAATATGTGTTAAAGTAACTAAATACGATTAAGTAGATGCCAAAAAATGGTTGCATTATCTTTTTTTTCAGCGTATACAGTAACTATATTTTCTTAGCAGATAATGCAAACCCTCATTAGGCCACTGTTTTGAGGTATTGGTGGTGTCACACAGGCCACTTTGGCAGCTTTGGGTAACAGTGAGGAAGTGCTTTTTTCTTCAATTCAATTGGTTCTATATAAATAAGCTGAATTGAACTGATTCTTGGATAACTCACATAACGGTCAAAATTTAGATTTAACTTGAGACAATAGCTTATCTAATTAAAGTTTGTATTACGAATACAAAATTCACTTTTCTTATTTTTCTGATGTATTTTATGGGAATAAAAAAGCTTCAATGCTAAGTTTTTTTTTCCAGGTTGAAGTTGATTTTTTTGTTTTTGCATATTTAAGCTCTCTAATAACAGGGACAACAGTGAGTTCTCTGTTTGGGATTATCAGAGGAAGTCTGCTAACGGTTTTAGAGTTTCCCCTAGAGCTCAGTCCCATCCCTGGGGAAAATCAAGCTGTTCACACTGAAGCTGTTGTAGAAGTGAGTGTTGAACTGTCCGCTCTGCCCGCCGCTGAACGTGTTGTAGTACACTCCCCGGTTAAAATGCAAGCCCTCGTTGTGATCCGCTGCCCCCGCCTCCGGCCCGCTGCTGCTGGGGTGGTATGGGCTCAGGGCCGTTATGTTCCTATTCGACAGCTCGTTCACCAGTCCGAGGGACCCCTGTCGGCCTGGGGCCCCCGAGCTGAGCGTGGACATGTTGCCATAAAAGTTGTTGAAACATGGAGCGGCCGAGGCGAGTCCGGCCGGCGATGAAGATGAGCTTTTTTGGTTTTCGTTCATCGCTTCCATCTCTGGTGAGGAAGCTCCCAGCAGCTGTGGGCTGTCGGAGGGTTTCATGGAGCCCGCCACCGTGGGCCTGCCGTCCTCAAGCTTTGTGGCTGTAGCCGCAGCTCCTCCCGAAATGCTGGGATCAGACCGTCTTTTCCTTTTCCGCCGGAAGTTTCCGTTATCAAACATCTTTTCACAGTTTGGATCTAGTGTCCAATAATTTCCTTTTCCTGTAAACAAAAGAAAAAACAAATAAAAAAATAAAGTGAAATTTGCTAGGAACTTCAAACCTTCCTGCTTTTTATATAAAGCCTATGTTTATATAAACAGTAAGGTGTGGTTGTTTATTTAAGGTTTTATCTTTTTCCCTTGGAAAAATATAACTCTGTTGAAGGAACAGATAAAATAAACATACATACTAAACTTAGAAAATCTAGAAATCTTTTTTAAAAACATTTATCCCAAGCCTTTTACAAAACAGGAATGATAGTGTTCAAAATGTCTATTTATGTTTTTAGAACAAAGTCTAGAGCTTTTCTTTAATTTTATTTGTTGAATTGATTTTCTTTTTTACATGAAGTGTAAATCTTTGTATAAATATAAAAAAAAACTATGGGAAATTTGATAATTTTATGAAATACACACCTTTTATTATTGTGTGTGAAAATAGGTTGTTTTGGACATCATACAATTTTTATTTTTCAGTTTTATGTTAAAAAACAAGTTTCTTTGTTTTCATTAAATATAATTGAACACATCTGTAGATAAGTTTCTCTAAAACCCTGGCAGATAATCAAGAGGATTTCATTCACTTTTATGATAAACGACTTCTTATTTGTGTTATCTGGTTTAATGTGAGTGAAACGGATGTTAAATGCGTTCCTATAGATTCAGGCAAATATTAAATGGTCATTTTTTTCTGTTTTGTCTCATAATATCTTTGTTATTCCTGTTATTTAAATTAAAAGATGATTTAAATGTAAAAAGTCTAGACTTGTTTAAAAGTAATAACTGAAATCATCTGTATTAAAGAAATTATTAGGTAGGTATTTTGTTCTATTTAAATAAAATGTAAGGATTCACAGTTCAGTAATGAAAAACATTTTCAAAGCTCCCAGAGAGAACAGCGTTAAGGCAAAATTATTTTTGGCTTTAGAAGACCGCTTTGATCAAAATTAGTAAGACGTTTTTTTGTTTTTTTTCGGAATGCAAAGGTCCATTTTAAACTTCACTTATCTTTTATTTTCCAGGAAACTGTAAACCAACCATGGGTGCCACAATTTAGTAATAAATAAAATGCTAATATTTGAACTTTAGATGTTAATAATTTTAAAATATAGAATAATTTTTTCCTACTATCATTCAGCGCTAAATCGTGTGTTTTACATAGGGAATAGGTAGCTCTAGGTTTAGGATCTATTGACTGGGGTGAAATGAAACCAAGCATTATTCAATTAGAGTATTTACTTTTACACTTATAATTGATTTGTAATAATTTACAGTTGCATTGACATATTTATTTCTATCAGTAACTTTTTATGGGTTTATTGGGATATTGAACTGAGGCATGTTTGGCCTCCCATACTCTCCAGGTGTCACATAAGGACTCAGTGGGATGTTTTGGTTACCTGGGTCATCCTCATCCCTTGGGACCTTTTTGAAGCAGTCGTTCAGAGACAGATTGTGCCTGATGGAGTTTTGCCAGCCAGCTTTACTCTTCTTATAAAAAGGGAAATTGTCCGCCACGTACTGGTAAATCTGACTGAGGGTCAGCTTCTTCTCATGCGCATTTTGGATGGCCATGGCGATGAGAGCGGAGTAGGAATAGGGCGGACGCACCAGCTTCAGCAGCTCCTCCTGGCTGGCGATGGACAGCCAGCCCAGGTCTGGCCCTCCGAATCCAGGTGAGTTGGTCAGGAACTGCCGCTGTGAGCCGTAGGAGGGCGGGATGAAGGACGCCGGGTTGTTGCCGTGCAGGTAAGACGTGGAGGAGTTAACGCCCGGCCCGTTGAGCCACAGGTAGGGGTTTGGAGAGGAGGCGTAGTCCCCGAGGCCGTAGCTGGCGGGTCTCTGCGCGCCCTGCAGGCTCTGCTGGTGGTAAACGCTGCTGAAGTTGTCGCAGTAAACCGCAGCTGCCATGTCCGGGGACTCCTGTGCGCCTTTATGAGGGATAGAGCCGACCGTAGGGGAAGTGTGGTGCTGGTGATGGGTCTGAGGGTCGATGGAGTTCATCACTCCCCGCGGGAAATTTCCCAAAGGAGAAGCTGAGGCGGTTCGGATGGACTCCTTCAGTGATGCGCAAGCAGCTGCAACAAGTGTCCGAAAGAATGAAGCTTGTTTTAAGAGCTTTAAAAGAAAAAGGGCTGAGGAACAGCCACATCCTGGCTGTGGAGAACTCCCAGTAAGTATCCTAACAACCAATAGAGAGCACAGAGGGTGTGGTTAGACACTCATTGAGCACAGAGTAGAGCCAAGGCTTCATTAACTGTCATTCATTCAGAGAAACATGCTTGGCTCACTGTTTTTTTTTTCTTTTAATAGAGGGATGCTGTAACCATTTAACCCCAGCTAACAAACAACAACACAGAACAAAAAGACTATGCAGCCTTCAGGACTTCTAATGAAATATGTTTATTTTCCAGACCTTGATTAACAATTCTTTGAAATAAATTTGAGATAAAAAAAATTGAAAAAGTAATAATTTCTCACCTTTTTTCCCCATTAACCACAAATTCAGTAACATAACCAAATAAGGAACAGTGTTACCTTACTGTGAAGCAGAAAACAAATAATGCATGTTTTTATTTATTTTTATAACAGGCAAAATATTAAATTTAAGACACTACACACATCAAAAATGGGTAAACTTCCCCTGATTACAGGGTGTGTCTCTTCCAATCAGAAGAAGTTAAAAGAGCAGCAGGTTCTTTGAGGCAGATGCCAGATGGTTTTTCCTCATACACGTGATAATCAGGCTCTTTGCTTCTGTTTGGAAAACTCTCATCGGGAATCCCTCCTTGAATCTCCTCACCTTCTCCCTGCTCGACTTGTCGCTTGGATCCACATGGATTTCTTCATTCAGTCAGCTCCCTGTCTAACCTCCAACGTTCACCCCTCTGTAATTCCAGCCTGGAATCTGTAAAACAAAGAGACAATCACCAACAAAAACAGCCATAAATACTTTCTGTGGCAAAAATGTAAAAGTGGAAGTTATCCAATCAATGGAGTAAATATCGGTAAGCAGAGACTGCAGTTGCTTAGGAGCCCACAACTTCTTAGGGGCCCCATCACTGACACCTGGTAGGCCCCCTACGCAATTGTAGACTAAGACGTCTCTTTGCAGATGTAGTGGAGCGAAAAATTCCTCTTAAACCCACCTGATACTGAAGTGCCACATTCGGGGTTCGATGAGGTTTGTGGAACTTGGGGTGTCTGTAACATGTGGTGGTGCGCTGTCACCAATGGTTCCATTTCTCTGTGTGTGATCATATACTACTGAGAACTGCATAATTGTACTGTATCTTCTTGGCCAATTTATTGAACTGTCGCCTTATCCTGAACATTTATCACGTGTTGTACTTCATTTGGGGCCCACCTGGATAATGTTGCTTACTTATATTGTTGTGCTGTTACAGAATTGTATCCAATATCCAATCTCACTGTGCTCCTTGGTTTTGTCAAAAAACTGTAAGTTTTAGGTGGGGTTGTACTTCCAGGAAAAAAACAACACAATAAATGTTTGAACAAGCATTGACTCAATGGGCCTGAAGATAACTGACATCACTCTTAAATAATCCCATCAAGAATCCTTCTTGAAAATGTATATGCTTCCTCTATCCATTCAAAATTATAAGCTTGTTGGTGTCTTTCACATACAAGTCAAATAAAAGGCACTGATGTATGTGGTAGGGGTGCACCAACTGATCTTTGTTTGAAAGATTATTGACCGATTTCATATACCTCTGCAAAGGTCCAAATTTTAACCACTGTCAACGCTATAAACATTGAATTATATTTGAGATATGGAGTGACATTTGTTCCATTATTATTGCAAGGAAAGAAAACATTTAGTCAATTAAAATATTGAAGAAAAAAAAAAGCTATCCAGGTATGAAACTTTGAAAAGGTTTTCAAATTTTGCACTTCCTCAGATTTTGTTTAAAGTTTTCTCACTTATTTTTCATATATTTTTTTCAAATGTCACTTTTTGAAAAAAAAAAAAAAATTACATTTGTGTTTTTCAGATTAAATTTAGAGAACTGCATCAAATTCCACTTCACAGACCACATTCACTTCAAGCCCAATAGAACGGCTTTTTAATGACCAATAGAATGATTTTTTTTTAAACGTCCATGCAGACAAATAGAAATGCATCTTCACTCCTCACTCCATAGGAAAGCCTGCCTCTAGAGGTGAACAGAATGTGATCTATAAAACACAATTGGAAAGAATTCAATTGGTTAGACTTTCATAATGTAGGAAATTTAGCCCCGCCCCCATGCAAAAACAGTACCCACTTATGGTGTGGTCATAATTAAAGGAACTCTGCAGTGACACTAAAACCAACACTACAGAATAAAATGTGAGACTTTGAATGCCATCTGTCACTGCTTGAAGTGGCAACAGTAGAGATTTAGTTGCATTTAGTCACTGACTCTGCAGCAATCTCTCACACATGCAGCGGAGGTTCTACGTTTGGCATTAAAGAAATACAGCATTTGAGATGAAGAAATCTATTACAAGCTGTGAAGCATACAGGTGGAAGTTTCATGGTTTGGGGGGTGATTTACAGCAGCAGAAACAGACCAGCCAGCAATCACATCATTCTATAATTTTTTTTTAAAAACACCAGGACAAGGTTACTGACCTCTGAACTGGTCGACCTAATTCTTTATGAAACTGCACCTCAGATATTTTTTACATAACAGCGGAATCAGAAAGGTTATGAATAACCTAGATATTTGTTTTTTATATCAATTAACCACAAATAAGTTAAGTTTATTGGTTGGAAGGGGAGAATATAAATTTTAAAACATAACGATTGGCATCTTAAACAGGATATCACCATACTGAGTTCTTGCTCTTTTAAGGATGGAGGAAATACCTTGAAAAGTTGTCTTAGTTCAAAAACCATGCTACTTTCTTTCCTTATCAGCTCCAATGCCATGGACCCAGAGCGGTTAAAAAAAAGCATACTTGTTGTGTTTGTGACTATTTCTAAAGTGGAAAAGCTGGTGTAAATGGACAATTCGGCCTGGGAGGCAAAGACTGTGCAATATCACAGAGGGGTGAAAAAAATAATGGTAGTAGGTAAATTATTGTCAGACAAAAAATTATAAATATTGCTTAATTGCAAACTAATGAGTGATTACTACATGGCTAAATCCTGAATTATGATGCTTTATGCTGCAGCCACTGCTTCCTCCCAACCAATCACAAATGCAGGCATGCTTGCCCCAAAGTGCTGTCCCCTAAAATAACAACACAGAAGATGTGAGAACTAGGGCTGAAAATATTAATCCAATTAGTCGAGATTAATCTTTTATTGAAATAAACCTCAAATAACTTATTAATCGTTAATCTTAAACTGAAGTACAGAGACTCTAAGATGTGCCTTTAGCACACAGAGCAACCCACTTGGAGCAGAACTACTGTATAGCAACATTGTAAAAAAATATTTAAATATTTTGCAATTAAGATAAAAAAAAAAAAAATCACTTTTTCATCTGTCAGTATACTCTATCCAGAACTCTTCAAGTGGAAAAGTTTTAGTCTCACCTTGATTAAATAAGTAAAAATTGTTTTTAGGAAACCTTTTGCTGGCTGTTAATTAAAAAATAACCGACAGATTAATTGATTAGCAAAATGATCGTTAGTTGCAGCCTTAGTGACAACAAGGATAGGCGGATAGTTTTTTTTCCCCAAAAAAGGGTTCAGTTGTTCCAGTAACATATTGGTAATATTGTGGTTATAATGTGTCAGACAAATAGAAAAAAAATATTTTTCTGATTTTCTTGTCAGTTCAAGCTATTCTTTACATTCATCAGTATTAACATTTCTAAGGTCTTGTTGTCATGATCTGGCCTGTTTGCTCTCCCCTAATTAGTAATTCCTCTCACCTGCCCTCTTCCTTCCCAGCCTCAATTATAATTTATTCCTCTCACCTGTTTTCTCTAGTTTATATTCAGTTCAGCCTGAGCATTCAGTGCCAGATCATTGCTTGTCTTTCTGTCAGTCTTTCTGTTCAGTTTTTATCTGGTTCATGTCCTGGATCCTAGCGGCCAGTGGAAAGAGGGTTTTAGTGTTTGTCTCGTCTCCTGATCGTCCACTGTTCCTCCCCTGTGGAGTCCTCTGGGTTTTTGGCTCATTATGGGGGGAGGTTCAGTTTTTATCAAAGTAAGCCTGGCTCCAGGAGGAGACCAGTTTAAAGTCTGCTTCAAGTTCCGGTACCTATGTCCTGTCTCGGCTACCCTCTTCCACTGTGCCTGCCTGTCTGCATCTGATCCTGTCTGCTCCTGTGCGTGACGAACTGGTCATGCTTCTGGTCCCAGTAAGACTCTGAACCCTCCTGGAAGCCTGTGGATGCCTGGAAGTCTGGATCCTGCCACCTGTCTCTGTTCCTGCCTGATCTGGATCCTGCCTGTTTCTGTCTGTTCTGGATCCCTCACCAGGATCAGCTTCCACCATCACCTCTGGGACTGCAGCACTGGGGACACTCGTGGTCTGGACTGTTAAACCAGAGTGTCTGAGATTGGGCGGTGCCCCCCCCCCCCCCCCCCCCCCCTGCTTTATGCTACTGCTTAAAGCAGGCAATTAAGCAGTAGCATAAAAGAGTTGCACTTAAAATATTATTTTAATGATTATTGATATTGATTGATATGAATCCATATGCTCTCCTCCAAACTGAGGTCAACTTTCAGTTCTGCATTTCTTGGGTCTTTTATAAGCATTTATATTATTTTTTGAGTTGTAGTATTTTGTTAATCTATTAGGTTTTCTTTGATTAGTGCTGTTTTCAGTAGTACCTCACACTTAAGTTAGGATAAAATCAAAGTATTAGAGTTTTTTTTTTATCAGTTCTAGAGTTTTTCAGTTTGAGAGTTTTTCGGTATAAGAGTATATATATATATATATATATATATATATATATATATATATATATATATATATATATAATTTGATTGTAATTTTTTAAAAATATATTAATTTGCATTTCTAACTATCACTGCCTAAATGTCAGTTAGTCTAAAAGCAAACGTTAAATGATTTTTGTTTTTTGGTCTATAAATCAAAACATTAAAACATTTCAGAATTAAAAAACTATTTGAAACTGCAGATGTTGGATTTTTGTCACTTAGCTGTTTGCGGGGGA